CTTCGGTTTTCTGGCGGCCCCGAGACCGCCGCCCTGGCGACCGCAGTTTATTTAGTCACGCACACACACCCAAGCATACACGCGCGTCCAAATACCTAAGGGCCATTTTAATAATCCACCCCTCGGCCGATGCAGCAAAGATCTCTGCAGGCAACATCCCCTCGGGCAATTGCAAGACACCAATAACAGAACAATTTAACTGGCTGCGCAATTCTACTGAATCAGCTGTCACCACTGTCTCAAGCTCTCTCAGGTCTGGCTGGGCGAAATCAACAATAGCTCTGGCTCCGCCAGTGGCCACTGCCACCTGGGGCAGCAATTAGGAGTTCTGTACATCATAAAATCCCTCCTTCTGGTGACTTGTGTCTTTTAACTTCCAACCTGGGATTTGTCCTGATGAATGTCGTGATCTGAGTACAAACCACTACTTAGACCCCTAACGAGTAACCAAAATCGTAAAATCTGAAGTTTCTGAAAGAGCCATACGCGATCATCAAAAGAGTCAGATATGGCTCGCAAGCCATGGGTTGCCGACCCCGGGTCTAGTTTGAATGTGGTTGACCCCCAGATAGTTAGCTCAGCATAGCTTCTGTTCAGTAGGGGCGCATCTTGCTCTAGAAATTAGCTAAGCTGGGTAAGAAGACAAGCATCCAGTATTTTGCAATAAACATATCAGGTGGAAATATGAGCCTGCGATCGTCCTCCTTTTCGCCCGAGATGCATATGTAGTACACCCGGATATTTTTTTCCTTCCACTGGTTGTGTTGAGCACGTCGTTCCTCCTCCGTGTGGGAGGCACAGATCAGCATATGTGTGCAGATTTGCCACTTGATGGCAGTTCTGCGGTTATCCAGAGCGGGTTATCTGTTTGGAAGCTGTTAGCGCGTTTTTTGATGCCTACTGCCGATCGGGCGCTATGACTGGCTTGCGAGAGACCAATGGTTATCCGTTTTGCAGGTGAGCCTGTGTCCAAGTAAGCCCTAGAATTCTTGTCCCGACCCTACACACCAACCTTCTTTGTGTGATGGTGTTGCAATCGCTTTAACCATACTTTAAGGCCTATGAACGTAATGGGTAGCCCCTAGTCAGCTGCTACCGGAACAGTCTCAAGTGCCCGGACATTCTAACATCTCAGTCTTCTGCTAAATTGAGACCCCTCTTACTCTAGAAGTTAGTGCAGCATGTTAACAAGGTGTTTCCTATATTGTAGTAATACCTGGGTGAGAGAGCAAGCACGCAATATTACGCTATAACCACACCAGATGGGAATATGTGCTTACCATCGCCTGTTTGGTTGCCAGAGATGACTAGGTAAGACACCCGGGTTTTTCGTTTCGGTATTTTTGTCGAGTACATCAATCGTGTGCGGGGGAGCGTAGGTCAGCAGATGCGTGCAGATTTGGCATTGTGATGGCAATTGTGCGACTATCCCGAGCGGGGTCTCCGTTGGCTAGCTGTCAGCGCGTTTTTGACGGCTACTGTCGATCGACCGCTATGATTGGCTTGCGAGAGTTCAATGGCTATCCCTTTTGCAGGTGAGCATGTGTCCAATTAAACGCGTAGGCGCCTTAAGTTCGATCGTAGGCATCAAGCCGCTTTACGTGATGGTGTTACAATCGCTTTCATCACGTGTTCGGCATTTATCGGTATTGAGTTCCCTTTAGCATCATCGAAGTAAGTCAACTAGATTGAGATTTAGTTAGGCTAACTGTTATGTTTAGCTGCTAAAGAAGCACCTGCTAAAGCTGCAGTGAGCTATGGCTTTGAGCATAGGATAATGGGACTAGTCCAAACTAACATAGTTGAACAATTCTGAAATAAGAGAATCAACTGCATATGCTAATAGATGCGCTAGCGTCTTAACTAAGTAATGAGTTATTAGCCAACCAGCCTATAATTGAACAGGATAAGGATTTTTTTATTTTAATTTACTTAGTACAGGAATCTAAATCTTATGGTCAGCTAGGAGGACTAGACTGATATAGAGCAGAGCCATTTAGGATCTGGATTAATATACACATACTGCATAATTTAAACCTACGCTAGTGGCTAACAGTAAGTAGTGAGAGCTCAGCAAGATAGGTAGGTAATTTGCTGTAGTACTTTCGGTGTTGTTTATGGGGAAACCTTACCTATTTGTCGACTCGTACCCCGAGTAACTTTTGCCGTGTCTTGATCTGGCCCGTGCTTTCTCACGCGCGAATTTCGCGCGAACCGTTTAGGGGGCACATAGAGGTTACTTTAATGAAATAATTACGCAATAGTATGCTCCAGTAGTAGCGCGGTCCTGCGAGCGCTTTCATTTCTAGTAGTAACGATGCATTTAAGATGCTGAGAGCAAGCCACGTCGGTTACCATGGCCTGGTTGCCAGTCCACGAATCATCCGAATTATTTTTGCCGCAAATGGGCCTGGTGTATTTTATATTGCCCGCCAGCTGCTACTGCTGTAGCTTGTCTGAAGTATACTATCGAGCTTGTCTGTAAACATTATGGACTGACAGTGTAGAGAGTTGAAATATTGCAGATAGGAGGAGTATAGGGTTAGACTTAACTCTTTCATCTTGACCTGTGCGGGTGAGGAAGTTCTTGCCTTTGGGTCTTTCTTCGTGGTGGAAGCCGTTTCCTCATATCGGGGAGGGCAAGGCGGTGATCGACCCATCCGTCGCCCCTTCGATGGAGGAGGTTGGCTGCGTGATATGTGCGAGAGAAAAGTGTGTCGCGACGGAGGGAGTAGATAGATTTGTGCTTGTACGCGAGCTGGTTAGAGGGGCTTGTTTGTTGGCACCGTTTGTCTGTTGGGTCAGGTCCCTTCGGGCCGCCCTTTTTGCCTTTGCGGTAGCGATCCTACTGGTCTCATAGGTAGCTGTGTTACTTTTTACTGTTCTTCGCCAAGCAGACCGGTCCTGCGCGAGTTGTTCCCAGGTCTTCGTGTTGATTTGAAGGCATTTCATAGAGTTCTTCAGAGTATCTTTGTAGCGCTTCTTTGTCCTCCCTGCAGGCGAGCCCCCGCAGCGATATCGCCGTATAGCAGTCTCTTTGGTAGTATTTTTTCGTCCATCCGCGCCAGATGGCCGCTCCAGCGCATCTGTATCTGCATCAGCATGGCGTGGATGCTGAAAGTATTTGCCCTCTCCAGCACCTCTGTGTCCGGAATCCTGCCCTGCCATCGCAACTGGAGTATTCGGCGGATACAGCTGAAGTGGAAATGGTTCAGCTTCTGTGCTTGTTTTGCGTAGACGGTCCAGATCTCTGCTCCGCATAGGGGTGTTATGAGGACGACAGCCCTGTACATCTTGAGTTTCGTGGATAGTTGTAGCCCAAGGCGTTTCCAGACGGAGGCTTTAAGCCGACCAAATGTTTGACTTGCTTTGTAGATTCGGTCTTGCTTGACTTGTGATTTGGGGGAACCTTCTGTTTGTCGACATCACAACTTGCGACAAGCAGTCTCGTCGTCGGTTTTGCAGTCGCGGGACAGTGTGATGCCTAGGTAGGCGAAGCGTTCCAAAACTTTAAGTTCTGTGCTGTTAACCTGTATTCGTGGAGCATTGCAAACAACACCGGGTGATGGTTGATGAACTACCACCCTATTAGTTGTACTGC